AAAATGGGCAAGTCTAACGTTTTTGTTTATCAGTATGTTGGATCTGTAGAATAGTATCTTTGTACCAAATCTCATGTAAATTGAGCAAAATATGGCCGAGTAATAGACTAACATCCACAAAATTATATTTTTTGTGAGCTCTGACCCTCTAAAATGACTCAAAATGGGCAAATCCACCTTTTTTATACTTCAGTTTGTTGGGCACAAGAAAATTTATAACTGTACCCATTTTCTTCTTGATTGTTGTATGACCGCACAGAAGCCAAAAATATACATTTTGGGGTTATATGACTTTTGACCCCATAAAATCCTTAAAAAGGCCTAAATCAAGAAAATGAATAACGCTTTTGGCGTATTGTACCAAGGTATAACCCTACCAAGTATAAAGTCAGTAGGTCCAGAAATGAAGGAATGGTAGTCGATTAAAAAATGCTTGGAAGAAGAAAGAAAGAAAATAAAAAACAACAATATGTCTCTCTGCAGAGACTTAAAAAAAAACTGAAACTCGGTTTATTACAAGGTTTGGCGTTCCAATCAGTTTGAGGAGTATCGGAGAACAATGCGCCCTATATAAAAATACTGAAACATATCAAACCAACCAAAAATCTATTCCTAACTCATTCCTCATAAATATAACATTGGCAAACCATTGATACGATGTCATTTTATTTGATAAGCAAAGTCCAAAGTGTATTAAGTAAATACATTATTCACGTGTTTAGAATGTATAATAACCAATTCAATATGCAAAACCAAGTCAAAGAACCAAAGTATTTTTGAGTCGACTCTCCACAATAAGACGCTTAAGAATAATAAAAGTTATCAAATGTTTGGGCTAGCCTTATAAATTAGTAATAAAAATTATCAAATGTTTGGGCTAGCCTTATAAATTAGTAATAAAAGTTATCAAATGTTTGGACTAGCCTTATAAATTAGTAATAAAAGTTATCAAATGTTTGGGCTAGCCTTATAAATTAGTAATAAAAGTTATCAAATGCTTACACTAACCTTATAAGCTAGTAATAAGAACTTCCGAGTGAAAGAAAAGTGTATAATAATATGTCAACCACACTAGATATATGTTATATCCGTTGCCGGTAAAGACTTTCGCCCAGTACCAAGGCTCTTCAGGCCGGCTGGGTTACGATAGACATAAAAGGGGGTTAAGACGAATGAATAATTATTCAACATTGTTCCGGAAACTACAGGTTTGTTTCAAAGTTTTAATACCATGTTGTAAAAAATCGTTAAAGAGAACGTTTACAAAAAACGAGTGAAACCTTTGTTGACACTTCAACAATAGCATATTCACGAAACCTTGAAACTGGAATCATCGCAAAAAAAAAAGCCAAAGACAATGAAACTAGAACAAATATAGTCATGTGGACAGTTAATCAACCTTTCTATTGGAAGGCTTATTTGTTAAAAATGTGTTTCATAAAATAAGTTAAAACTTATTTTTCATCCCATATTTATCAATTCTAAATAATTTTAAGTTTTCACGTCAAACAAAGTTTTTTACAATTTTATATCCCAGAGAATCCACAGCCCTACGGATTTCAAAGGTTTTCAGTTTTATACAACCTCTCCTACACTTTTTCATAAATTCCGTAGTCGTTAACATAAACTTTATCTTACCTTTTTTACGATAACGTCAGAAGCCAGCCAATTTATTAAAATAAAATTGTCAAATGTTTATTTAGAAAATAGAGAACTACAGTGTCTCTTTTCACAATACGAAACGATTTTCGGTTTCGTATATCTTAAAACTATATATCTGAATCAATTATAGGTCGAATTAGCCAAACAAAGGCCTTTGAATGTAGCTTATTTTACGTTACCACTGCGTTTCTAGGAACCGTTTTAGAACAGAAACTACGGACAAAGAAATAGAAACACTCAGGCAGAAAGTGGGAGGGGGGGGGAGTAGTTTGGCCATATGTCACATTTCAAGCCGACTCTCGCCCTGTCTGTTCGTACTAGTGTGTGTCTATAGACTCGTCACGTTCTTTCAAATTCAGGAGTGTAAGGTCAGTTTGCACGCATACATTATTCTACCCTAATCTTGTCAATGTCAGGCTTTCATGGGAAATTATGATGCACCATAATAACACGTGTTCAATTAGGGCCAACGTCAGAGAATCGAATCTATGAAGAATGACATTAAGCCAATATCCACGGATTAGAAACGGCTGTAGGGTTAAATCCAACATCAATCCTTCTGACAGAACCAGGTGTTCTTCGACAGACAAGTCTTCGTTATGTTCTGCTAATAACAAGTAGTCCAAGTTCATGATGTAACCCAAGATAACCAGGACATGTAACAATATTTGTCAAGGATTAGTGTGGAAAACAAATGTTAACTCACGTGTCGTGTTTATCTTTATTACAATTTGTTGTTCAGAACACATATACAAAAACAACAAAGTTCTATATATGTAATAGCCCAATGTTTGTCTATCTGTCATGCTCTGTATCTCCTGAACGATTAATTGTACAAATATATACATATATGTATATCAAAATGCTTGTTTTCAAGAGTAAATTACAGGAAAATTATTCATTTCTTGTAATTCCTAACATTTCATATTAATATCGATTCGTCAGTCTTTGTATGTGCTGAACGGTCAATCTGAGAGAAACTTATTAAACAAACACGTTTTTTTTTTTTGTGAGTGAATTTCACGAAAACTAAAACAAAACGGGACTTTCCCCATCGACTGATTCAATGACTTGTAAATAGTGTATGGTTCATCATCCACATTTTGAACAGTAACACTCTAGATGCAGAAATGTCAAATGGGGAATCCAAAGAAAAAGTAACCTATATTCCAAGAATAGAGATGCAATCATCCGACTCCACAATGCCATTTACAATAAAGCGATGCCAGTTTCAATTCCACCGGCCTTTGTCATGACCATAAATAAGGCACAAGGACAAACTTCTGAAAAAATTGGACTTTACTTGTCTGAACCTGTATTCACTCACGGCCAACTATACGTTGCATTTTCAAGGATTAAAAAATTGACCAACATAAGAGTGAAGATAGAAAACACCAAAGAACACGGGAAGATCAAGGATCATCAAAGAATCTTTACAAAAATATTGCTTATCCTGAAGTATTGTTGACCAATAAGATGCAGAAGTTGTCAGATCTTCAGAATTATCCGCTCAATGACGTCAGTGTGAGCGACTACTTTTCCACTGGATGATGCTCAAGAAAAGTTGGAATGAATCTAATATCTGCCATTTTCTTTACTTTGAGCTTCTGTATTACATGTGATGCAGTAAAAAAACATATTTCTTCTATATTTGACACTTCTTACAGAAATGAAAACTGTCAAAAAGTGCTGATTTCCGTAGCATTATTTTCTTGCGCTTAGTAAAATGACAAAGAACGGTGGCTTCGATTGGAAAAAATTCCCAGCAGCTATTTAACGAAACTGAGCGATATAATGTGCTTGTTGCACCCATTGCATCGAAAAACAAAGATTTTTGCCAACAATGCATTGTATGCAGTCTCGTATGTTTAAAAACAACTGCAGAGCAATTTTCCTTATTTAAATAACACACGGAATGCCAAAAGACGGTTGTAAAACGGCCCACTAGACAACCATATTGCATATACGCTCTGATACAAGGGATTGGGTTGACTGCACATTGTATATTTATTCGTCAACGGGCATCTTTGTTTTATCTCTCTATTAATTTTATATCACATACAAGTAATAAGGCTAGCGGCCTGACAAAAGCGTTAAACGAGTAGGACAGCGAAAGTCCTATATTTATTACATTACTCAAAGTATGCAGTTAAAAGCCTTCACCAGACAGTGTATTCAAAACAAGTTATGTTTTTGTTTTGTTTTTAATTTCGCGCAAAGCTACACGAGGGATATCTGCGCTAGCCGTCCCTAATTTAGCAGTGTAAGACTAGAGGGAAGGCAGCTAGTGATCACCA